TTATTATTATTATTATTATTATAAAGATATTTGTTATTATTTATTTTTAAAAGGCACTTTCTTTTGGTAAATAAAGGGTAAATAATCCGGACAAAAAACAAGAAGAAAAGTTAAAGTAAAAGGGGTAAATTGGGCACCGACCCATCCCCATTTGAAGATAGGGAAGATATAAAAGCCCTACCAACAAAATCCTTCCTCTTACTCTTACTACCCGCGTTCGCATTCGCGCATTACTTTCACTTTCGCAGTGTGAGAGCGAGAGCGAAAGAGAAATCACTCATCCTACAGAAGAGAGAGAGAGCCCTCAGCCCAACACAAATCCACAAAAGAAAGAAGTGTGTGTGGATTGGAAATTGGCATCAAACACTTTGAGGAGGTAAGCATCTCTTTTTGGGTCGAATATTTCACTTTCCCTTTCTTTTTTAGCTTTCTCGCTTCACCCCTCTGCTTGCTGCCAAACCCTTTCAAGCCTTTGCGATCCCATTTCTCTTTGGACAGTCGGAAGAAAACAAGCTCCGAGTAACTGCTTTACTCTTTCTCATATCAATTTGGGTTTGCTTGCTTCTGATTATAGAGGTTCACTCTCGTTCATAAAATTAGTTTCTTTTGAGTTAAATTAATTTAACGAATTTGGTTTCAACTATTGGTGATTTTTCGTGATTGTTATTCGGAATTCAGGCTTTTTTTGGGTTTGTTTTATGTACTTTCCAACGATGTCTACCTGAAGATTTATTGATTTTGATATGGTTGAGTGTGTTTTGTTGAATTATTGAGGGCTTCTGGGAATCTGAGGTGGGACTGTAAAGTCAGTGCTTGTTGTTTCTGTTTAAAGCTCAAAAATTGTTGATGGGTTTTTGATAATCTGAGATGGGTTTGTGTTTGATTTGTGAATTGCAGGGTTTAGGAAGTGAAATTGGGGGCGGGGTTTGTGATGAGGAAGGGTTCCAAGAGCAATTGCAAGTCTGCTTCTCATAAGCTTTTCAAGGACAAAGCAAAGAACCGTGTGGATGACTTGCAGGGCATGTTCATGGACCTCCTATTCGCCAGAAAGGAGAGCCGCTCCACTGATGCTGTCCTCCTTGAAGAACAAGTCCATCAGATGCTGCGCGAATGGAAAGCCGAGCTAAATGAGCCCTCACCAGCTTCTTCATTGCAGCAAGTTAGCATCATGATCCTATACAATATACATACATTTTTTGAGTGCATATGTGGAACTAGATATTTAACTACAAGTTTGTGTATCAACATATGTGATTATCTACGTATGTAATACATCAACTTATGGAATATCTGGGTTATGCTTTTGTTTGAAAGGGTGTGGTTGTGATATTGTGGTGTTTATCGGTAAATATAGGGCGGCAGTCTTGGTTCGTTCTCTTCAGACATTTGCCGGCTGTTGCAGCTTTGTGAAGAGGAAGATGATGCCACTAGTCCATTAGCTGCACCGAAGCCCGAGCCTAATGATCAAAATTTGCAAGTTGGAGAAAGTTTGGTCTTTCATGAGGTTGTCTTCCCCTCTTCTTCTTTCTTTTCTTAACTGTTACCAAAATCCTTTATGGGGGTTTTGTTTCATTTTTGCTGTCTATCCCTATATCTATAAGCTTTATAATTTTTCATTTCCTTGAAATGAAATGTCAATCAGTTTGTATATGAGCACTCACCGGTTATTGTAAACAACATATTTCAGGGATTTACTGTGAATCAGGGGCAACATGAACTTGGCTTCCCGCTGGCTGATCAGTGCAAAAGCTCCCCTTCGGGAGTTCGCAATGCTGCTGCTAACAATTTGGAAGGGGCTAATCATTTGGACTATCATCAGTTTGAATTGCATCAAGAGTTTGAGCACAACTTCTATACTTGTTTTAATAGCACAGCTTTGACTGGGGAAGATGCGTTGCCTCATGTTTCTACTTATCTACCAAGTATTTGCCCTCCACCCTCTGCTTTCTTGGGCCCAAAATGTGCACTTTGGGATTGCCCAAGGCCTGCTCAAGGATTGGACTGGTGGCAAGACTACTGCAGTAGCTTTCATGCTGCTTTAGCATTGAATGAAGGACCACCTGGCATGGGTCCGGTCCTTAGACCTGGGGGCATTGGCCTGAAGGATGGCCTACTTTTTGCTGCTCTTAGTGCGAAGGCACAAGGAAAAGATGTCGGTATTCCTGAGTGTGAGGGAGCTGCTACTGCAAAGTCTCCATGGAATGCACCTGGTAAGTGCATTGTTTTTTTACTGTTTTTAATCTTTGAGTTATGAAAATTTTATAGAAGTCATGAGTTTCTTTCACTGTGAATTTTATCTGATCAATCTTTGTGATTTCAGAACTCTTTGATCTTTTGGTTCTTGAGGGCGAGATAATTAGGGAGTGGCTCTTTTTTGATAAGCCTCGAAGAGCTTTTGAGAGTGGTAACAGAAAGCAGAGGTCATTGCCAGATTACAATGGACGAGGTTGGCATGAGTCGAGGAAGCAAGTGATGAATGAATTTGGAGGGCTGAAGAGATCCTACTATATGGATCCTCAACCCCTGAACCATTTTGAGTGGCACCTTTATGAATATGAGATCAACAAGTGTGATGCTTGTGCCTTGTATAGATTGGAACTGAAACTTGTTGATGGGAAGAAGAATTCCAAGGGGAAGCTAACTAATGAGTCAGTAGCTGATCTGCAGAAGCAGATGGGAAGGCTTTCTGCCGAGTTCCCCTCGGATAACAAGCGCTGTGTCAAGGGCAGGGCCAAAGCTAATGAGAAGGTGGGTGTTGGAAATGTCTATTACACTCCAAATCGAGGGGCAATAACAAATGGGACATTTGACTATGGGATTGGTGCACCATACGACTATCTTGTCGAAAATGTCAATGGCTACTATCTAACTTAACGGAAAGAAGTTTGATGGGCACGAATAAGCTGCATGCCCATCCTTAGTTGTTAGTTTATATTAAGCGGCGGCGGGGGTCATGCATTTTCACTTCACTTGTCGAGGGTCTTCCGTTTTCTTCCACTCCAAAGTCAAGCTCATTTTTTGCTCTATGGACATACTGTGAATAGCTCATCCTCCCACGGAATGCCGCTTTAGACTGTTCTGGACGCTGGAGCATATTCTAACTTCTGCTCAGTACAATTTTATAACTAATTGTCACCGAAACTGGAATAGGTTGGATGGAACACCATTGCCAACAATTATCCCATATTGGTCTTGGTTTTTAAACATTTATGCTAATTGTGTAGACGGCTGTCGTCCTTGAATGGTATATATCTGCAATATGACCCTTCTATCTATTTATGTACTTTCTTCTTTTCTCCCCTAAATTTTAAAACAATCACTCAGAAATTTGTAAATGTTGCTGATGCAATTGCAGCGACAGGATAAGGGGATCATGCATAAACCCAAAGCTTAGAGTTCAGAGTTTGGCATGAAAATGATGATGACGTACGGCTCGGCTGATCGTAATAACTTAGCATTTAAAAGGAAACAAATGCATTTCACGTGACAAATAATAAGTGAAACATTTGCATTAGAGAGGACTACAATTCTCATAAGCGTTCTTAAATGCATTAAAGAGGGTCACCACACCATTGCATCATCCATCATGTTAGGTTGGTCTGTAGTTAGGTTTGCCTTCGGCTTCAGCCCCCATTTTATCCAAAAACGAGAAGCTATCATGCATCATATATATTGCATTGCATCACCATCACATAGAAGTTACATAGTGATATTTTGCATTACGTATGGATTGGAATCTCTAAAGATTTAAAGAGCATGACAAGCATGGTTTCAAGATGGATTCGTAAATTATTCAATACAAACTGAATTCGCCCGAAATAGTGAAGCTCCCCATCAGCCTGGCTTTCTCCTAAGCTCCGTCACCATCATCTTCGAGGCTGTTAACTCTCTCACATTCATCAATCCATTCACTGTAGCTGCAGAGTTACAACTTTTGCATGAGTAAAAATAGCTGTGGTGTTAAAACTCTCACGTAAATGAGTGTGTGAAAGAGAAGGAGAGAGAGAGATTACTTACACGTCTATTGGTTCAGATAATGCTGCGAATACAAGAAGAAAATCAGAATTGATTATAACAAAAATAAAAAAACTGCATATATTTCTAAGAAATTACATTGTCATAGCAAGTTTCCAGGGCAGACATAAGTAGAATATATGGTAACACAAAACTCATAATCTGATGCTGAAATGAGGGTCTTTCAGCGATTCGCCATGCCCCCCCTTAAGCTAAACGCTTCACCTACCAAACCTCAGGCAGACTAGTATGAGTTGCCTGGGCCATAGCCTAGACTTACTAAGAGTTTAAATTGCTCCCGTAGGATAGTAGGGCAAATAAACTGCATTAGTGCGATTTGGCTAGTGGTATCGCCCTTCATATGATTTTCAACCAGGTCAACTGATGCCAGCATCACCACTACGGAAACGAAATTTCCTTAGTCCTTTTTCTGTGAAACAAAGACAAGCTTTTTCCGCCCTCCATCCCACATTTCCCTGTTTGAGCCATGGTTTACCCGGCAGTGCTTCATATCCGCCTTAGCCAAAGTGAATAAGTGATTAAAGGTGGCTAAACCCAATATCATCCCATAGGCTGTGTTTTTACTATCCCAAATTTCCAGTGACAAACATTATCTAGTTAAAAATCGACTCCGACGAAAAGGAATATAAGATTTGAAAATACATAAACAAGCATTAATCTGCCAAAGGTACCAAGTTTTGAACAGACCTGTGATAGTAGTGCTGAAGCTCTCTTGGCATATTCTGCAAGAAGCTTCCCCAATCAAGTTCTTCATGTCACTGAGGTAAGATAAACAATAAAAATGAGTTACAAGACTAGAAAATCTAGAATCTTGACACTAAATATGAACCTCCCAAACTAATTCTGGGCTATGCATTCCTTTACATACGGACTCATAAATCAGACATAAGATTGAATAAAATGCTCACATGCGGCATTCAACACTGGTGCCATGGCTGCAGAAGGGACAGCTGAAGACGGTGTCAAGCTTGTCCATCCGCTTCCTAGGAGGCGGCTTTGCCGATGACTTCCTCTTCCCCATTGCTCAAATCCTTTCTCTAATGTCAATATCTCATCATTAATGGAAGAAAGTTAGTGCTTAAGTAAGAATGTTGCTAAATTCGACCTTTTATTCACAGCCACAGCCAAGCATTTCAACCTTTTACAATGGCTCAGCATAATCTCATCCCCATAATTGAACATTTTTAAAAAAAGAAAAAGAAAAAAGAAATGCAAAATTTGTTACGATTACGTTCGACACAAAATTAGCACAAACATACCAAAAAAAAATAAAAAAAATCCACATGTAAACTCAGATAATTTTTAATAAATATAATCAGTCCAATGGCAAAATTTGCTTTCTTTGCTTCTGAAAATTTAAACCCTACACTACCAGATTATCGTTTCCAAAGAAGAAAAAAGAAACGCGAAAATTTCATACGATCACTTCCCAAATTTTGTTATTTTTTTTGTTTCCTTCATCCAGAACAAGAAGCACATAAAGTTTCGGATTTTAAATTTTTTTATATTACCTAAAGTGTATATAAGAACTACTTCTCCTTTTTCCTCTTCGTTTCTCGCCAACCAAACAGGTGTAAACATGCAGAAATTGCATCAATCAATCCCCAAAGAAACCGTTAACAAAAGAAAGAAGGAAAAACTTACGGAAATCGATGAAGAACCAGCCGACTTGTTAACTGTTGTTGCAGATTTTGGATATCGAAGTGTTCCCCTCCACCTGTGAATGAGAAACGCTTTAAAATGTGCCAAGGAGAACGAAGCGGTTCAAGCGGGAACCGAAACGACGTCGTGCCGTTTCGTACTTAGGATCCGATTAAATTAAACCCGACCCAATATAGCCCATTTTCAAATTAAAAAGAGGAAAAGAAATCACTACCCCTAACCTCTCAACCTCAACGTTCAAAAACCCTAAAGCCGTGTTCAGAGCTCAAACTCACTAATGGCGTCCATTCAATCTGTCTTTCTCTACAATCCTCTCCTTCCCTTAAGACCTCCTCACTCTCTTTCCACTAAAACCCTCGGGACCCCTCGAAATCTCCATTTTACCCTCGCCCGTTCTACTAAGAAAGATGTCCCATTTACAGAGCAAGAGGTCCTCCAAGCCGTGGCCGAGTCCGACGAGAGAGTCCTTCCTGGAGTAAGGACGTACGAGAACGACTCGGCTCGTCTCGCTTTAGTCGGCGCAGTCGACTTCGAGCAGGCTCTGACGGCAGCTGCAGCCGATGGAGGACAAGCCGCCGACGAGCATATCAGCTCGGGCATGCCAGCTATGGTTGTGGAGACCTTGTTCCCGGGCCATTCGGACCCCCACAGCACAGTCTCGACCCGGCTGGTCAGTTCATTTGTATCTCTAATTTTGTTTATCATAAAAAGCATGCAACTTTGTGCTAATGCTTATGAATGTAGTTGAGAATTCGAACTAATAAATCATCAAAACACACATTTAAGTCCATGTTTTCATTGCTTTCTTGCTGATCGTAAAATTCCTGGGATTTTGTTTTCAATTATTCACTAAGGTCCTTTGTTTTTCGAGAGTTTGTTTTTGTCCTTTCGATTTTTCCTTCTCCTGAATGGCTGTTGTGAAATTGACATTTTTACAGTTTCTGCCAGCTAGAAAAGTTAAAGAAAAAGCTGGTAAACTGAGAAGGTCCATCACAGAAGATATGCTGTCAACCGCAACGTCCAGAAACATACTTTCCATGACATTTAGACAAGTAGTGTTTCAACTGCTTTGGAACTTCGAACTGGTTGTCTTTAGACCTGGAACAGAAAGGAATATGGAGGATCTGGAGAACCCAAGAGAGGTTTGTCATTGTTATTTATTTGTAATGGTTTCTGCTTAAGGAATTTACACCTGCATGACTTTCTTGTAAAATGTAATATCATAATAATCTCTGTCCTGCAGGTGCCATGTGATACTGATAGGTTCAGTTCTCTTATGCATTTCGTATCAGCAGGTCCCTCCATCTTTCACCCTTAGTTCTTCAGATGAACAGATTATGTCTGTGCTCGCAGAAGTTGTGTGCATATCTGCTCTTGAAAACACTGAAAGACAATTTCTTGAAGATTGCGTGGGCAAAACTAAAAGTAATCTGGTCCACTGGTTCCGAAAGCCTAAAAGGACTGTATCCAAAGATTCCTCAGTTGTCATATACAAACTATTTGAAGATGAGATAGTTGACAATGCGAAGAGTTTGCTGAAGAATTTTAATTTAACAAAGGGAAGTTTTAAACCTGTAAAAACAAAATCCAAGTGCTATCGGTGGACACCAACTGCACTCTCTAGATTGGAAAAGATTGGTGGTCCTGAGTTTAGTTCTTGGACTAGTGAGCATGTTCCTGCTTACAGGCTACAAATTGATGCTAATCAGCATAAGGATGTGAAATTTGAAGGCTGGAGAAAATCTGCGGAAAATTGGTGTGAAGTTCTTTTGACACACTCCCAAATGGTACTTTTTTCTTTCCTTGTCTTCAGTCTTCTTGCTTTCAGTGTTTCTTGTCATGGTCTCTGTAATTTGGGTACTGAAGACATGCTAAACATGTTAAAGTGTCCATGTAATGAGGTTTCTAGTTCAAATCTATATGAAATAGGATGATGATGTATGTGATGGGGAATTTTCATTCCCCCTTCCTCTCATTCCTATAATATGAGTGTATTTATGATAGAGCCACGTTAACAATTGCTTATTTAGCATTTAAGTTTAGTGTAACTTAATCTCAGTCGTGAACTATTGATTTATGGAAGGAGTGCTACTTTTATTTTGACTCTGGTTTACACAATTTGTAGGTTGGACTGGCGGACATAATAGATATGTATTATGAAGATCTTTACACAATGCCGGATAAGCAACTATCATGTGGTGTTGTTGCAAATTCCACTAATTTGTCAAATAAGAAGGTACTTCAGTGCATATGTTTTCTTTATCTCTTGGTTAAGTTAATAATTTGAGACCTGATGCATGTATGTGAAGATTTTTGTAAAACAAATGTAAAATTTTGTTATTAGATCTGTTCTCAACCCAGATTGCAATTGCTGCAGGTATGTCTGTACCCTTTGATCAATTGAGTTCAGGTCGGATAATGAATTTGAAATTGGTGTAATTCTAACTGGTTACGTTTATTTCAGACGGGCTCTTTCTTGTTAAGAGTGTTATCTGTCACCCTTGCAAGTGGAATTTTTCTCATCACAATCAGTGCTCTTGGTCAACTTGGTTATCCCTATCCACATAAAGGTAGAAAGTACTTGAGAGAAGACAGGTCTTTTCCATCATCTGAAGTTGATGGTGCACTATATCAGTCGGTGGATGCTCTGAAGGTATGCATGCACCGAGAGGATGATATCATGTCAATCAAATTGAAAATATTTTGGATTATGTAATAAACTTATCTATAATTAGTTTATGAACAATTTTCACGGGAGGCTTCCAAAAATGGGAGAATGAGAATCAGGTTGCATGTATAGAAGTTCTCCTAGAAGTGTACTCAATAAAGGGCTGTGATAAATGAAAAATAAAGATTTACCTTTTTCGCCTCATCTTACTCTGCTTCTTAATTGGTCTGAGAAAAATATGAATTTGGGACTTTATTTGGACAGTTGGAAGCATTTTGCGTATCAGTTGTCAAAAAGATAAAAGATGCCCTGGGTTGGCCGGGTGAGATCAAGATGGAAACAGATGTGGGTGCTTGGACTGGTAAAGTACCAAACTACTTGAGGCTGGTAGTTGAAGATTCTTCCAACAGGGAAGACATGTCAACTTTTTCTTCCTCTTCAGAGAAAATTGATGAAGACTTGAAAGCATCAGCACAAGATATCGCTAGTTATCAGGTAACTTGTGTGTAAAAGTTTACTTTCTTGTGTTTTTTCAGCCACCATTCAATTTGGTTCTCTTTCTCCTTCACAATTATTTCTAAGATATTGGTTTCAATAGTGAAGCAGACCACCTATATGGAGAAATGTCTTATAAGTTACTTCTTTAGGATGCTGGTGTGCCATATCATTGTCAACATGTGGTATTTTAGGGAAAATCATGATCATAATCATGTAGCTTTCGGCTTATTACTCTATTGTTGATTATCCTAGTTGTGCCTTTTCGATGTTTTTAACATTTCTGCATACTCTTTGGGAAATTTTAGGTGGTTCTGTCAACCGATGGCAAGATAGTGGGCTTCCAACCTTTGAGCAGTGTGGCTGTTAACCATTGGGCTGCCAATCCCTTAGCAAAAGAATTATATAGAGGGCGAAAACTTTCACCTGGTAAGTGCTAGCTGTTTTTGTAATCTATTATTATTGTGTTATTAGCTGCCACTAACCTTTGAGATTGTCTCAAATAGGTTTAACAGAACCGGGTCTTAAGATCCAGCGTCCAAATGAGGTTGCTGTCATAGAGTTGTTGATGTCAGTAAAGCCAGATGCCTGTTTTGCTTTGGCCAGGCCAGTTCGATAATTATCGTCTGGTAATTGTGCATAAGGATGGGCATGCACATCTTGGTGATGCCATTGGTACTGCATGTGGTTTGGCTCCTGCAGTGTGGAGTTTTAGATCTTTGAGATATATCGAGTGGAGCAAACCAGAATGTTCACCCCTCTTTGAGATATTGGAAGATGCACCCTGTGGGTTGTGGTTTGTTACCTTTGAGTCACTTTTGTGGATGTGGCTTGATATATAACTTACTCGTCAAGAAAAATTTAGTTGTGTATCATTATCTTAGAAAAGGAAGAGTCAAAAGTTCAGTTCCTTCTCAATACCTTTGATTAAGCTCAATAATAATAAAACCCAATTAAAAGATTGGCAAAATTATACATAAAGGTGGAAAGTACTTGAGAGAAGACAGGTCTTTTCCATCATCTGAAGTTGATGGGGCACTATATCAGTCGGTGGATGCTGTGAAGGTATGCATGCACCGAGGGGATGATAATATCATGTCAATCAAATTGAAAATATTTTGGATTCTGTAATAAACTTATCTATAATTAGTTTGTGAACAATTTTCACTGGAGGCTTCCTAAAATGGGAGAATGAGAAGCAGGTTGCATATATAGAAGTTCTCCTAGAAGCGTACTCAATAAAGGGTTGTGATGAAATGAAAAATAAAGACATGTCAACTTTTTCTTCCTCTTCAGAGAAAATTGATGAAGACTTGAAAGCATCGGCACAAGATATCGCTAGTTATCAGGTAACTTGTGTGTAAAAGTTTACTTTCTTGTGTTTTTTCAGCCACCATTCAATCTGGTTCTCTTTCTCCTTCACAATTATTTCTAAGATATTGGTTTCAATAGTGCAGCAGACCACCTATATGGAGATATTGGTGTGCCATATCATTGCCATCGTGTGGTATTAGGGAAAATCATGATCATGTAGCTTTCGGCTTATTACTCTGTTGTTGATTATCCTCCTTGTACCTTTTCAATGTTTTTAACATTTCTGCATACTCTTTGGGAAAATTTAGGTGGTTCTGTTCCTTCTCAATATATGTTTACGAACTTGAAAAAAAAGAATTTGATTAAGAAGATCGTTTGTCACGCATAACAAAAGAAATTGGTGAATTAAAGTATTGTCTGGTTGTCAAAGAATAACAAGATTGGCAAAATTATACAAGTGTGCGTGTGTGTGTGTGAATTAAAGCAATCAGGGGACCTTTAAAGTTACACACAGAAAATTCATTGAAGCAGTTGATGCAGCTTCTGTTCAAAGCTATCTAAGCAAGAGTTCTCAAGCCCTTTGCCAGAGAAAAACTCCCTCCAC